GCACCAAGTACGCAATGTACAACATATGGGTAGTATTCACATTTGTCGCACTATGGCATGACATATCACTTAAACTATTGACATGGGGATGGCTTATATCATTGTTCATCTTGCCTGAGCTGATCGTTACGAGTTTATTCACCGAAAAGAAGGTAATCATGGATCGAATAATGATTCTCATTACTAGTAGACCGTTAAACCATATTTGTCTATGTTACACATACAGTTTGGAGATAAGCCATACTATCGGCATGTGTGCGCGTGTGGAGCAGTTTTGAATCTTTTGTTTATGGTATTTGCCAATCTCGTCGGATTTGTTGTCGGACTAGACGGCGTCTGGGATATATTGAAATTGATATTCATGACCGTAGAAGGTAATTGAACAAACCAATGATTATTTAAACATTAATTCAAACTAATAATTTCTTAATTATGCAGGAGTGCAATTCTTTGTATTGAGTTTTATGGCACTATTTACGGCCACACAAATTATGTTTGAAATCAGGGAGGAAGAAAAGAGACGAAATATTGATAGGAATAGATCGTGAGGAAAATACGGTCGATACGTTCACGATGATAGCTAGTAATTTAGGCTTACATATTATTATTCGAATACTGTAATGATAATTATGCCCCCCATAATTTGTTAATATAGACAGCTTGAAATTAATCAGAATCTGTGGGAGACTTTCGTATTTTAAAAACTTTCTTTATACTACTAATCTCTTGAATAATAAAACTACATAATAATAATACAAACTGTTAGCAAGTCACTGACATAATATTGGGATAAGACTTTCTCCACCACTTTTTTTCACCAATTACAATCTCTTACTAGTACTAGGAATATTTTATGGTACCTATTATTATGCAATAATAATATTATATTTCACATGTGGCCTGATACTTATAACTTGGTCAAAAATTCTTTTATATTTAAAATTCTCTTTCCTTTTGCACTTCAAGAGCAATCTGCTGAATTAATATTAATATTAATATAAGAATAACGTTTATCTTTATCAATTTCTTTAGAATAGTTCAAATTTGCCCTGGTAAATCATTACTTAATATTAAATAAAGAGGATGAGCATAAGGTCT